TGCCAGAAGGGTGCTAACACTGGGGTTTTCAATTACATGGGCAAATCTGTCCTCATATGGATTAATCTAATTTAGGTTTGTGAAAGGAAAACAAATCTTGGCCCCAAAATCACCAAGCTAAAAGGAAGAGTCAATCTGGGAACTGCGTAGGGCAAACCCTCCTCCCATTGTAATCAGAGTCACTTCTCTGCTCACTGAGCTAAAAGCATATCTGATTGCCTCCTTTGGAGAGGCTAATCAGAAACGCAGAAGAGTGCTGCCATTGGTCTCTTATCTACCTATGACCCGGAACCTCCTCCCCACTTCCAGTTGTCCAATGTTTGCTTTGTGTTGTCCTGCCTTTCCAGACCGAATCAGTGTTCATCTTACAGATGTTGATTGATGTCTCAGGGCTCCATAAAAATGCATAAAACTCGAACCATCATGGGCACATGTTGTCAGGACTCCTCAGGCTGTGCCACAGGCACGTGTCCTCAACCTTGGCAAAATAAACTTTCTAAATTAACTGAGATATGTCTCGGATATTTGGAGTTTGCAGGTTGAAAGCACCCAAACTGATACCTTGTGATTCTGTTTAAAACATGGGCTTGGATCATAGGTATTTTAATAAAATTCTAGCTCACAAGTGCAGTCAAGAAACATGGTTTACCCAGCGGGTCTCTTAAAGTAGGAGAAAGCAAAAAAAAAAAATTTCTGCAAAATGGTTTTCTATACTCTAGGTAACAAATGTCAATATTAATATAACATAAAGCACATATAATATACCATGTGACTATATTTTACTTGTCTATATAGCTTTAGAATGTTTTAGTGTTCCACTTATAGGAAGGATTCCAAAAACTCATTCATCATTTGTTCATTCATAAGTAGCAAGACAGTAGGTCACAGTGAAACTCCCTAAAACATATTACTGGAAATCATGTTGGCAGTGTTTAGCATTATATCCCAAAGTTTTAAATAGTGCCTGATACACAATAGGTGCTCAAATGTTTGTTGAATTGATGCTCAGTAATCTGTAACTCTAGGTATCAAAGCACAGATTTATTTAAAGGCATACATGTATGTTAAATACTTTTGTAGGAGAGGAGGTACCTTTATTTATCCAAGTATCTGATCAAGTTTAAATGCACTGATGATTTTCCAGATGGGCATTTTTTGTGTTTAATAAAAATAGACACCAGGCATGAAATGGAAGAAAGAACAGATGTACTCTTCTTCAAGCCAAACTCTCAATGTGATAAACAGGTAAATAGTTTGATTGTTCCACATTAGAAAATATTCCTATAAAAGGCTTTAATTCTTTCCTTTCTTAAGTATTAACTATAATACAAGAATGAATGATATGTTTCTACACAATGAGCTTTTTCCAAACATTTTAAATGATTCAGTGTACCAGTTGTGTTTATGTATCCATTGGCAGAAACAGAGGTATTAAGTTTCGTAAAATTTATTAAAATAATTCAATCACACCAAAAAGCATGATTAAACATTAAATGTGTATCATTAAGTAGTTGTATTGCATTGTTTTGCTTTTGCCTATTGAAAATCCTCTCCAAGTCTTAAGAACATTTGTACTCTACCACCTAATTTTTTTATATGCCAATCTACTATTTTCTTAAAGACGAACACATATGATCCCTTGATAAGAGTTTGATTCCTTTGGGTTGTTTAGTGTTCTGGACTGCTCATTTATTTTGTTAAAGAGCAGTGGGCCTGTAGTCTAACTAAAAATATGCCCCTCTGTTAAGGGAGGGGGCCAATATGGTGTACTAATTGGAGCCTTAAGCAAGGACCCCTGGGAATTGGCTTTTCTGTTCCAATGAGAATTAATTCCAAGAAAATAACCTAAGTTCTGCCTCTGTACTTGTTTCCATCTGTGAAATGAGAAATATCATCATCCACAGGGGGATAGCCTGGTTGAACTGATGTACTAGAGGATTCAAAAATAATTTCATTATTTGCAGAATTATGTGGCGATGGATAAAGCATAAAGAAAAATTTAAAATATAATCCTATGTAGCACTGTCCTGTAACAACCTTAGTCAAAGTGATTCTTTCACTCTCAAGAGAACCTTTAATATGACGAAGTCTTAAATATCAAAACAAAATGCATAAATGCCAAAACCCAGGAGGAAAGGACAGTACATAGAACCTTGTAATAGTCTATTTCAGGAGAGCATGCTGGCTCGACTTTCGCTATTGACTGTGATAAAAACAAAAGTTGGAATCAATAGGGAGATAAGATAAATGCAATACTTACATATGAAGAGGCAGAGAGAAGATTTGTAGCTTATTTATAGCATAAAACAATAGAACCTGTTATTAAAATCTAACAGCATGACTAAAATCAGGAAGGGCGACATTTTTGTAAATGTACTCCAGGGAACAAATGTTCAAACAAAGGATGAGAATATGTTCCTTAATGTCTTTCCCATGATCGAAAAAATGTGCTTTTCAAGTAAATTGGTTTTCTGATACATTTGTCTATCAGATTTCAAGGTAAAATATTTAGGACCTAAGATTTAAAAAATAAATAGTACTGTAACATCTTTTACATATGAATAGGGAATTTGTAATGTAAACTGAGATTATTAAATTATACTATAATGCATACATTTATTATTTGGATAGAAGTATTAATAAAGGCTAAATTTGCCGAGTTGGCACATAGATAATAGGCTATACTAGTTTTGTTTTCTCATGCTTTTAATACAGTACAAATTACAAATCACATACCATAGATTTAAGCTTAGGCAATGGCCTGGTAACCGGCAGACAGTATAAATTTGACATCTAAAAACACATTCAGAATTTAGGCTTCATTTTCATGTAGTTTCAAACCATTTTAAATCATAATTTATTATTTTCAAAATTTGATAAATTACAAAATTTAGCTCAATAGTGTAAATAAAAATACTAGTATGATAAAGAACTTATCTGAATATTCTTACCAGCAAAATATGGAGATTTGCCACAATGCCAGCTAAGTTAGTTTTGCAGTCACTGATAAATTGGGTTGCCATAGCAAGCCCATAGTCACTGAGTTTCTAAGCAACCTAGACTCCACAGACTGCAGATAGTTAGGAGTCCGCTGATCTTTCATCATCCCTTAAGGAAAAAATACAAAAACTTGTAGGGCCAAACTCAATGAATGGCAGATCCCCTGATTACCCAGGAGAGCAGTGGTCTCCATACAATACACCCCTGTACTGATACTCAATTTACTGAACAGTAATATTTGTCCTGGGGAATTACTGGATTATTCACAGTGCTAAGTGGATGAAATTAGTCATAGAAAATGGTCAGTGCCTGATATGTGTTGAGCAGACAAATATTTGTTGAATCATTGAACAAAATGCGATACATCATCCAACTCTTTAGAGATATCATTTGCATAATACTAGCCATCATAAATTCCTTGCCTTTTCAGATGAACGTATCTGTTTAGTAGCATTACTATTCAGTATGTCACTTCAATTTCTTTGTTTCTAATTATTGTAGCATAGGTAACATGGGTAGTTGTAAATCAGTAATTCCTTGAGGTCTTCTGTTGAAATATTTAATTGCAGCTTGTCTAGAATACTTCAGTCACAATATTAACCACCCAAATGACAAATAGAATTGCATAGACCTGAAGTACAAGCAAAGCTATGATTTTTTTGAATGAGCATGCATTAGCATTTTCCATGTCTGTCTATAAACACCTTCCTCAGTTCCTTAGCTTCACACAATGCCCACTGAGGCAAACCATGGCCTCCTGCCCTCTCTTTTAATACATCAGGCTCAGTTTCCAACTGTTTTAGATAATCACAATAAAGTTAAGGCATGTAGTTTGTTTCTACAGAACAACGTATCACAATGCAAGTCCAAATAAAATAAAACTAATAGAAATAATCATTTGTGACCATCAAAACAATTATACCTATAATCTGTAAAATTTTAGCTACTTCCAGCACCCCCCATTTTTCTACATTCCCCATTATTCTGGGTAGCTAATTCTTACCATGGAAAACATCTTAGAAATGGTTTGCAAATTGAAAACTGTCTTTAATGATTAGTTTTTAAAAATACTACTTCATATATCCTATTGGCTATTGCATCAGAGGTTTATAGCCCATGCTAAACAATACAATGACTAAATTCTCTAACCTGAAAGTAAAATAAACTTCCAAAGTCACCTCTCAAACAAGTCACAGTAGTCACTGCTGACTACTGTGACCATGCCAGGAATGCCAGCGCAGAGACTGCTTGTGACCTCTACTTGTCACTGTTGAACATCAAAAGCAAGGGAGCATTCTGCTTGCTCCAACACTGAGAAGTCAACCACTCTGTCTTACAATATTAATATAAGAGAATCCAAATTTTTATAATGACATTCATTGTAATACTTTTTTTGGCTAAAAAAGGACTATCTATAACTTAACAGTCTTCCTAGGATATACTAGGAAGTATATCCTAGTATTGTATTACTGCATTTTTGGTAAAGACAGGGTTTTGCCATGTTTTCCAGGCTGGTCTCGACCTCCTGGCCTCAAAGTGATGAGATTACTATGCCCAGCAGGATATATATATTCCTAAGAATAGAAGATGGCTGCACATGAATTTGCCCTATTAAGATATTCCTCCACTATTGCCTGCGAAGAAGCATGTGTATGTTGGAGGGCTTAGATTATTCCAAATATTTTTTGAATGCCATTTTACCACTTATTAATGTAATAATTACTGACAACTCATAGTAAAAAACATTTGACCCACTCCCTCCACTTTCTTTTAGATACACCTTCGCATCTAGAAGGTTCAAACAGGCTTTCTATATGCCTACAATGCCCCGTGAATTCTACTCCCTGCAAGAAGAGAGAGAAATGCGAACATACCTTAAACTGGACAAGAACAAAGCAAAAGTCAGATCAAAGTGGGAAATTTTAAGTATTGCAAGCAAAGTGTGGAATCTTACATATTTAGATTAGGTAACTTTATTGTGATTACACAGGAATATTTACCGTTGGAAGTCCGACGAAAGAGTTCAAGGCCACAAATGTTAATGCACTTTCAAAACGCTCGTTGGGAAGACCAGGGAATTAGCACCGCAGACTCTGGTTGTGTTTGCCCCAAGTGCTGGGTCAAATCACTGCTGTACATCAGTCCGCCCCACCTCCTAGTGTCCAAGAATGGCTGTGGAATTCTGACTGACACTCCTGTGAGACAGTGGTATTCCTAAGCCAAAGCAAATTCTGCCGCCAGTGTTTGTTAACCTCTCCAGCTTAAAATGAGCTGCTCTTCACCCTGGTTCTTGCCTTTAAAAAAAGAACAATTACTCTGTGACGTCGAAAAGCACACAGAAGCATTCCCCTCTCCAGGGATATCCCTACTTTCTCATAGTAACTTCCTTGACTCATTCCATCCTGTGTCTTTGTTAGAGGACTTTACAGTCCTCCCAGGAACCACGTAACAACATGTATACTGGTCTGGGAGAAGAAACAGAGCATCAGTGAATATTCCAGTTTGTGGAAAGCTGGAGATGAGGGCAATATTGGGCAGGGCTCTGCAAGATTAACAAGTTCAGGCTGATAATAGCTGTTTTGTTGCAAAATGAGAGAATTAAGCAACATTTGATGAGTACAATATTATATATGCAACACACGTCAAATAAATTAAAACAAAAATAAATACACTCTAAAATAAGTATTAATCACAGTATAGTCTAAATGAGACCAAAAATATGGCTTTTCCCCAGATCACTTAAGGTAGTCATTCTCTGAGGATTAATGTTGATGACATACATTCTCATACACTCACACACTGAATGAATATCTATCACATGGTCACTATGTGCTCAGAACTCTGCCACAAAGTAGAAGAAAATGTGACTCCTTTCTTGAGGATTTCTGTAATGTACTTGAAATGCTTGGATATATATTATTGTGTGTATATGAGAGTTTAGTCCTTTTAGTCTACTTTCATGAAGTGGGTAGTTATCCTGGTTGAGAACATTCATTCTAGAGCTGGTCCCTAGCCTTTAATAGAAGTCCACAATTTAGTTATTTTTTATCTCTTTAGAACAGAAGATTGGCATAATAAATACTAACAATGAGATTTTCAATAGAGAAACTAATAATATCAGAGATTTATAAGCTGGCTAGAATTATTACTAGATAAGTGTCTACTTTTACATAACAGAGTAAAAAAAAAAAATTGACCAAGGACTGTTGTCTAAAGTTTAGTTCAGAGATTGCCTATTATCTAGCTACAAATTTTAGAGCATTTTTGGTTTTTGAAGTTACCAATATTTACCAAGACAATCCAATAATACTGCCTGTCCAAACTGGCCTAGGTAATTAAGTGTTGCTAGGTAGTTTCAAGGAGTTCACATTCTAGAGATGCAGCTTATACTCAGAAGACCATTCTGCATATAAATGCATAGGTAAATCACAGTAACTCCTGGACTAATAGGAAATCCACATTAGTTCAGATATAAATAACTGTGACTCATAGTTCAAGGAACTTTCACCTATTCTATGTAGAATACATTTCTTATTTCCTTTCTGCTTTTCTCACTATAGACATCTAGTCTTGATCATTTAACAAATGTGCGCTCAGAGACTCCTAGAGTTACAAACACTTCTTGTAAATATTCCTAATTATTTTTTAAAAATTTAACTAGAATATTGCTTTGTTTTGCTTTTATTTTTCTATTTTTCTCCACTTGTTACCTCTTTTCAACATCTTTCTCTAAGTTCTGCTGTAATTTTTGATACAATGTTGCTTTAATTTTTGGTGTATGCCATTATTCTTCTTTGTTCTCCTTCAGTAATGCTAGTGATATAGGATTTTTCTTTTTGTTCACTTTGTAAGCCAGGGATCCTCAGGCAGCCACGCTGCACCTGGGCATCTCTTGGCCACACTGGCATGTCCCAGCTCATACCAGCACTCAGTGGTTCCCAAGCTCTTGTTCCAAGCCCAAGAAGAATGAGGATATGCTGAATATCAAAGGATGGGAAGGACAGAGAAGGCTTTTAGTGATGAAACAGTTTTCAGCAGAGAGGGGATGCGAAAGTGGTCCCCCAACTGAAGGTGGGAAAGTCCCTGATGTGGCTGGGTCCGGGGCCTCTTACGGATTCAGAATGGGGAGTGTGTGCTGGCTTTAAGAAAGGTAAAGCAAAGACACCACTCAAAGGTGGGCATGACAGTGTAGAAAACCAATTTGGAAAGGGAGGGTATATATAAAATAGGTGAAGGGTGGGCATCAGTCAGAGGAAAGCATGTGAAACAGGAAGACAAGTTCTCAATACAGTCTGAGGATTTAACTTACAGCTTGGCTTTCAGACTTTAAACTGTCTTTGGCTTGGAGGTGGGATTTCAGTGGGGACCTGCCACTATCTGCCTAGGCATTCAGCTGCCGCCGGCCCTTCTCACTAGTTAACTTAATGTTAAGCGCCCAGATAACTGGAATAATTTATACCTCTTTTTCATTTCCATACACTGTTACTAGTACCCTATTACTTGTATGAAGTTAATTTTTAAGATTATTTTGATTCTCTAACGTTCTTTGGATTTTAAAAAAAATATACACATAACCTTGAATTTAAATTATTAAATGTGATATCTTATTTTTCTTCTAATATACTTATTTATTTCTTCCCCCACATGTGGGACAACTTGAAAAATTCTACTAGAGGATATGGAAGGTGACAAATATTTGTTCACATACTAACCATGAGTCAGCTATCATGTTAAATGCTTCCATGTATTATTTGTCCCAAAGTATTCTATAAATTATTGCCAGTCACATGTTTACAGATAACACAAGAAAATATTAAGAAAATTAGATAAATATAAATATGCCCAGAATATAGGCACCCTCTATAGCAGGCATCCCCAAACTACGGCCGCGGGCCGCATGTGGCCCCCTGAGGCCATTTATCCAGCCCCCCCGCCGCACTTCAGGAAGAGGCACCTCTTTCATTGGTGGTCAGTGAGAGGAGCACAGTATGTGGCGGCCCTCCAACGGTCTGTGGGACAGTGAACTGGCCCCCTGTGTAAAAAGTTTGGGGACGCCTGCTCTATAGATACTGGAAGTTTGGTTTCAGACCATTGTAATAAAGTGAGTATCACAATAAACTGAGTCACACAAATTTTGTTTCCTGCTGCATATAAAAGTATGTTTACACTATACCGTATCCAATTAAGTGTGCCATACCATTTAAAAAAGTACATCCTTAATTTAAAAATACTTATTGCTAAAAAAAATGCTAACAATTATAATAATCTTTTTGCTGGTGAAGAATCTTCCCTGGATATTGCTGGCTGCTGACTGATCTAGGTGGTGGTTGCTGAAGGTCTGGGTGGCTGTGGCAATTTCTTAAAATGAGATAATAATAAAGTTGGCAAAATCATTTGACTTTTCTGTAGCATGCGATGCTGTTTGATAGCATTTTACTCAAAGTAGAACTTCTTCTAAAACTGGGACAATCCTCTCAAACTCTGCCACCGCTTCATCAACCAACTTTATGTAATATTCGAAATTCCTTGTTGTCACATATGGTGTTATGATACATACTGATTTTGTCCACCTTTCCTGGTTTGTAATTCCCATAGCCCTAGTTACAGACTTTTTGTTATTATGTATATTAGGCCTCAGAAAACAGAATCTCCCTCCAGCCCTCCGTTCACTTGCCCCAAGGCAGGACCTTAATCTTTCTTCTCCCTTCTGATTGTGAGTCTCAAGACTCTCCCCAGAGAGGGTCCCACCCTGTATCTTAGGGGAAGAAATGCTGAAGTCAGGAAGCTTCCATAAAAACTCAAGAGGACTGGGTTTGGTGAGCTTCTCGGTAACTGAACTCTTGGACGTTCCTAGAGGGTGCCATGCCAGGGAGGGCATGGAAGCTCTGCACACCTTCCCCGATACCTTACCGATGCATCTCTTCATATGTATCCTTTATAATAAATGAGTAAGCATAGTAAGCATTTCCCTTTCTGTGAGCTGTTTCAAACAAATTAATCAAACCCAAAGAGGGGGATCATGAGAACCCCAACTTGAAGCTGGTCGGTAAGCCTGGAGGCTTGGCCTTGTGACTAGTGTTGAAAAAAGGGGGCAGTTTTGGGGACCAAGTCCCCAACCTGTGGGATCTAACTATCTCCATGTAGATAGTGTTGGAACTGAGTTGGAGGACATCCAGCTGGTGTTCCCTGCTTGGTGTATATGGAAAACCCCCACACTTTTTGTCATGGTGATGTTCTCCTGGTATTGAATGAGTTCTTACTCTATTATCAAATAGTTCCCATGAGATCTGATTCTTAAAAAGAGTCTGGCACCTTCCTTCCCTCTTTCTCCATGTAACACCTGCTCTTCTTCCCCTTCTGTCATGGGTGCAAGCTTCCTGAAGCTGCCATCAGAAGCAGATGCTGGTGCCATGTTTCTTGTACAGCCTGCAAAACTATGAGCCACAAATAAACCTCTTTTCTTTATAAATTACCCAGCCTCAGGTATTTTCTTATAGGAACACAAAGCAGGCTAAGACAGGATGCATGATAAAGTACAAGCATTTTCTAGTTCGTGTCTAAATCCTTGACTTTTGTCAATATAAATCTCTCAACAGATGCATTTGTTGATACAACTTTGATGTTTTAAAGTTATTTTCATTATTTCCATATACAGGTTTCAGTTAAAACATTTATTCACATAGTCAGTTATTTTATTAAACTAATTCTTCTTGAAACCAGATATTTCTGGGTCCAGAGAACATAATAAAATCAATAAAGCCCTCACTTCACGGTAATAAGCTTAGAATGACATTCAGAAAATTAGAAACTAGCATAATAGATACTATAATGGAAGGTTTATAGCACACCTACAAAGGGAGAAAGTTTTAGGAGAGACAGTAAAGCTCTGTAGAGAAAATGGTATTCTAGCCTCTTTCTCAAACACAAGTCAGAGATCAATTACCATCTACTGGTCAAGGCAGAGGAGGGGTAAAGGCAGAAAATATTTTCCCATTCATAGGAAGATTTAGCAATTTTTACCAGAAGCCATGGACTTTGAGAAAAAAACATATTAAAAAGTTGTCACGGCAACTTCAAAATAAATAAATCATTTCGAATTAACTGAGCTTCTGCTACATTCAGGCATTATTAGGAAAAAAAAGGTGTAGTTTTCATCTTACAATTCAAAAGCAATTGGTTTAAAACTGCCAGAAATTCTATGTTGACTTTTAGGAAGAAGCACAAGTAGAGACTAAAAATTCTGCTTC